CTAGAGAGTGCAAGTAGTCCAAATCTTCGGAAACTGTTCGGGGTTTAATCGACACGGACGATTGGTAATTATGCATCGTTTTGTTTATGTGGCTCAGTGGTAGAGATTCAAGGAATTCGACGATCCGGGTTTGAATCCTCATAGGAACATACTATATCATGATTTTGTTTGTGCTAACTAGTCTTTGGGTAGTGGACTGACGACGACTGATATGATTACATTGCGTCATCCATGTGGTGTTGTGGTAGAGTTCCTGTCTAGGAATTAGACCGTGGAATCCGACGGTCCGGGTTCCAATCTTAAATTTCTGGCTAAAATTGGTTTTATAGTTATTGAACAAATTTTGTATTCCATATTTAAACACAATAGGAACTTTAAATAAAAGAGAGCAAATTTGACAAGCTTTGAGCCACGCGATGAAAAACAAATCGCTCACAGAAATATCTTAATCGGTGTGACCGGGGCATCACGAAAACCTACTTCAAAAAACGAGAAACATCTCAAAATAATTTCACTATGGCGTGAAGCCGAGAAAACAAACTTTTCCCCTTTCAGAAATATCGGCTCATCCTCGGTGTAAAAACCTGTGAAGCTCACGAGTGACGTAAAACAAAGAAAACAAAACATAATAAACAACAGCGTAGAGCAAAACAGTACCTCGTGAAACAAAGAAAACCTCGTCAGGTTTTTACACCGAGGATGACCTGAAATATCTGCAAAGGTGTGATCTGCTCCTCATGGAACCTTAAACACGAAGGCGCGCTATAAAAGGAGCCTTAGGTCCCACTGGACCATTTGTCAATCAACCGTCGTGTGATGTAGAACTCTTAGAGTCAAGTCAGCTCGAGCTACAGCTACTCTAAAGCAGTGAACAGTGGGCGCATTCCTCAAAATTGTTTTATGTCTTCATCACAATACAAGAATTTTTGAGATTTGTATTTCCTTTCTCCAATGGAAAGTGTCTTTATTTGTGGCGGTAAATTTGAGATCGAAGTAGGTGGTTTGCACGTTACCTCATTCCACCATGCTGGTGGAAATAAACAATAGATATCTCATTAGCTCCTTCTGTTCGTCTACCAGCATTTAAATTTGACCCGCACGCGTCAACGGTGGGTGACAAATGAGCCTAGGTCTTCCCAGGGAAGACTTCCTGATATAGCGCGCCTTCGTATTTAAGGAAAAAAATTATCGTTGAAGACAGAGCATTTTACTGTTTAAATCAGTGAATTATGCCCAGGGGAGCCGCTAAATCTACCCATTGAGCAAGGAGCAAGGTGCGAAGTGCGATATCTTGAGGTTAGCAGGTTGACCGTATTCAACGGAAAGGTTAAGCGGTGGGATGGTGGAATAACCTATAACGCAGAGTGACAGATCATGCCGGCTAAAGCGCAACATTCCTTGCTGTAAGAGACAAAAGTCTCTGTGGAATTGCAACGAAATAAAGAAAATCGTTTGAAATTTCAGGCAAAATTAAAAGAAGCATTGTTTATTGCTATCATAATTCATTGTTATTCCATTTAGTTATTGGTTGAACGTCAATTTAACACTATATTCTTATATCATCTTACTCGTCTAGAATATAGTGCTCGTGGATGTGCGGGATGCGGCAGATTTTCTATTTTGCAAGTGAATTTTTAAAAAAAATCGCAACACTACCTTCTAGCGGCATTATACAACCTATTTTTGTTGAATGTTCTATTTCCGTTCTATTTCTCTTCATTGCCATTAAAATTGTGCTATATCAGTAGCCACATGCCATTTCATATTTTCTATTTTCTGTTTTGTTTTGCTAGATTACTGGCAGCCCTACAGACTAACTTCTACCCCTCTCTGAGCGTTTCCAGTTAAATTTTTCCTGGTTTAAACCTGTAGAAGACAAAGACAACTTGAAACTATAGAAGTTTTGTCTCTAATTTCTGTAGTTTTCTTTGGTGGTACTTTATTTGCGGACAATTCAATAGTCTCAGTTTCTTTGGTACAAGCAATCTGAAGGTGTTACATAATGGGCGATGTCTTGCCCAACTCAAAGACCTCTTGTCATATTTTTTTACCGACAGAAACAGAAGCCCGGTGAAGTTTTTTATGCTGATTTGGATGAATTCCAACAGATGCAGAAAATGCCTAAAGTATCCACCTCCCCCGAACCCCTGCCTCCGATCAAACGGCCGGAGGCTTATGGTGAAACGCAGTATGCTGACATCACCCAGTTTCTGAAGGGAAACCCTGACACAGGCGCTGAGCTTCCTAAAGACGATACCACCCCAGCTGTCAGTAATACTGTTACCGGCCGCAAGGAGGAATCCTCAGTCAGAAACACAGGTGACCGTTCAGAGGCAACTAACGAGACAGGATTTTAGTTTTAACTGAGTTTTTAAAGTTAGAAGAGCTGCAGTTGTTTCTAAGGGTGATGGTAATCGTAGCCTTGTGGTGAATTCTCATGTTTCTCAGTTATTTTCTCTCAGGCACAAAAATGTGATATTTGGATCTCTTTTTTGTTTTTGTTTTTTCCTTTTACTTTTGTAGTCTTCCCGTGTAGTTTTTGGTTTTGGTTAGTCATTTACTTAACAATATATATTTTTCTAATTTAAGATGTTAACGTCAATTTTTTTTGCATATAATCTTTTTCGTAACATAGTTTACACAAAAGGGAGATGACGAGATATACTGAAGAGGTAGCTTTGTTCAAAAATAACCTTCTCGGGTAGCAAAACTTGCAGCTCGATTGCAGATGCTTTTCCTTTAATTCTCGTAAGTATAAAATCCTCAAGCAATTTACTTCATAGTTATTGTAATGTTACTTTTGGTTTGGAAAAGTACTATAGCGTACATACGTAGTCGAAAATTGAAAGGTAAAGATGAGGTTTTTGACATGGCGCACGCCCGTATGTTCAGAATTTTTTTAAGAAGTAGACAGTCTTTGGTAACGTCAATCACCATAACGATTGAAAATTAGATTAGCCCAGCCCGCTGTATTTGATCGGAGGCAAAACCTCTTAGAATTTAGATATCAGTAATTTAGTCATTTTTAACATTCGGGAAACCAAACCATCGTAACTCGGCTACCCAGCCCACGAGCGCTGAGGACATAGGTATTTCCTTCGTGATGTCACGTTCTTTTGTGCCCTATGTTACCAGATTTATCGTGGTAATAAAAGTTTCAGCCATAACCATTTAAAAAACAACAAAAAACACCAAGAACAATGTTGACGCAGGTAGCAAAAGGTGATGCACTATACTAAACAAGAGGGAGCTTGTTTGCCATGCTTCGGTACACCTTCAAGATACCGTGGGGTG